TTTTTCATGTAAATATGTATATATTAGTTTCAGTTGTTCTTAGCATTTGGCAGGGGGGATCGTAACCTCTTGTGGTGAGAACCAGTGTGACTGGCCTGCCAACGGGGTGCTAAGGATTTCATAGGAAAAGTTATCAGTTACATCAGTTAATGTAATTTCGTTTTACATACCCGTAAATCAAAAATCACAATACAATACAATACAATACAATTACAAAAGTACTACAGATTACCGCACACAACAAGGGATTCGAACATGTGACCACGGCAAGCGCTTCACTACAGCAGGAAAACTCCTTCCTTACTACACACCTGACTGCCGTAAATGAACTAGAACTAAAGTGGGAATAACCATCAAGATAAACTAGACAATATTATATGCAAGTATAAACATGGATAATCAATGGTTCCACATGAGAACAATGAGTATAGAGCTGTACATCGAGCAGACTCGTGGAATCAGACTATATTCAATTAAGGATGCATATCAAGGAATGTTACAAAATAGCTTATTCTGTCCAGTAACTGTACATACCTCCTAATGTTTCGAATCAGTTTAGAAAATGTTTCCTCCCAGGCAAACATCTTAATAGTTCTCATTGCTGAAACAATGTCACTCATTTTCTCCACTCTTTCGTCGGTAAGGGTGGCGGTTTTAGCCCTTTAGCAGAAAAAAACGATTAATGTTAAATTGTTAATCCCGTATTGGAAGAACAATTGTCAACACGACTATGCAAAAAAATAAAACTTATCAAAGATTACCAACTTTTGAATACATATCAATTTAACCTTTAATAACGTCATTTTACTTTTCATGCTATGGATGAAGGCCGGTCAACATAATAACTAATTATCAAAAAATCAATCAATCAATCAACTTCAAGTATAATGTTTGTTTGCCAAACAAATATTTACTTAGCCAATGTCATCTATTTGTGTTTGTGTCACGCTTGATATGTTTATATCTGATTGGAGTGGTTTACAATTAGAAACACTAATGTGTACATTCACCTGAGCCGGGAAAAATACTTTCCCGTGAACACTTGTCCAAACATGGCCAGGGCTAGGAAACTAAATGCAACCAGACACACAGGACCACTAAGTCTCCATAAAACTACCATAACAAATATGAATACCAATGGACTGATCCACAAATAATGAATATAATAAAATACCTGTAATATAAAGATTGTAGAAGTGAACAATAAGATTCTCGCATACGATGTGCACAGTTGTGGATTTATTATTGTGTGTTTGTCGTATTTATAAATGTTCATCTTTATAGTGTCTTATTGAATAAAGCGCACACATTTATATTTCATGTCTGGTAATAATATGACAGGCCATCAACTCATTGACTACTACACCACTACATCCTCTTCCCATTTGTTCACATCATTCGATAACTTACCACTTCAAATTTGTTCACATCATTCGATAACAAATTTACTATGTGTCCAGTGCTTGTTCCACCTAACGCTGTGTTACTTAACCTCAATACCTATAATTTATAAGAGTCATTAGTGAATAGATACATTCCACGTGTATTCTCTGCACGTTGCAGGACATATAGCAGGACACTCATATATACATAAATATTGAAGATTGAGTATTGAGGTTCATATACGTTACTCGTTCTGTTTTGGAAGAGTACTTGGATTTATTTTGTTTGATTGTTTGCCCGTCAACATTTGTCACCGCCGAATGTTTTAATCTATCTAGCAATTACTTACCTTTCTATAAATCAAAGAACAACAAGCTATCTTCAGTTGCATTCCGATACGTGCCAATCGAAACTTTGACATTTGATAAATTAGAATCCTAACTCCCAATGACAAACTGATGGCTGTGGCCCACAGATATGCTTCTTTGGTGGTCATGTTTGAACTCTCAGAGAAGTAAACAATGAGGTTAACAATCATGAATGCCTGGCATAGTGAATTGACTTGCTGTAAACGAATAATGGATTATTCCTCAACAATTTTTTTGTATTATCATTTTTTCTGAACTACACTATATAGGTCTCGCCTGAATTTGTTACTGTAATCTTTGGATGGCTGAATGAACACACTAGTCAATGTCAAATGTGATGCCAGACATTAACCTAACTACTTTGCTATTAACATATTGTAGTGGTATTGTATTCACAAGCACAAATGTATTGATTTTAGTATTCATACATAATTTAACTATCCCATCTACACATTACACAAACATATAGGTTTCCCATATTACAGTAAATTTAGTAAATAGGCTTTTAAGAAATACCAAACATTATTTCTTTGAATATAGTAAACAATTATTTTGCGGATTTGTATTTACCTTAACAGTAATAATTATGCAGC